GCACGGCGTACATATTCAAAATAAATTAAAACCGAATTTACAACTCTCATAAAAAGTTATTGTCATCTTACTTAGATACTCGAACACGCAAAGTAATAAAATTGCCAAGTAAAGCCCTGATGAAAAATGTGCGGTTGCATTAATTTCATCGCGAAATATCATCTGCATGGTGTTTTCCAGTGCAAAGGAAAACTCCGTTTACGGCCGCATCTATAATTTATTTTGTTTCCGCATGAAAGATGAGCTTTGTAATTACCAGACTTGAAACAATGGAGTAAACCGGAAGCGGAGCTTAACCCCATCAAATGAGCTTTCAGCATAACAAGATTAGACTCTGAAACTTCAGGGCGCATCGCTTGACTTTGCTAATAATCCTTTGATGATATTTTTACAAGTGGAAAGTGGAAAGTCTCAACTATAACGGAATGCGTTTTAAGCCGAGTCGATCCCAGTCGATTCAATTTGCTCTCAGTTATGTTATTGCTGGCAAAATTACTGGTGGAGGATCAATGATCCCTTGAAGATGGGTAACTGAGTTTTTGTGATACTGATTATACAAGTTATAGTAAACTGTAGTAATAATATATATTATATTACTATTGGTGTTGTCCCAAAGGTCCGTCGTCCGACCACTACTTTTAATTTTATTTTTTATCTTAAACTTGTGCTTCCATGCTTGCGTGTCTTATACCTCGGCTTTTAAGTCAATTATTTAATGGAAGTAATAGTTTCTTGCGTTTTATCGATTTTTGTCTCTTGCGTGAGCGTAGGGAAAATTAGTTAAATCGTAAACAAATATTTATTATATTTTCATTATGTCATTATCAATATTGGGCTCATATGGGGCGGCCCATATTGGTATTAATATTGGCTCCATATAGGAAAATGTTAACTGTACAATATTGGAGCAATGTTTACAAAACGATATTGCACCACGATTCATTTCCGCTGGATAATTATATTAAACTATATATAATATATATATATATATATATATATATATATATATATATTTGTATAAATTTTTATACTAAAATTTTTTTGACACCTTTTCTCCATCTATTTATCCTAAATCTATTATCTAGCAGTCTAATTTAGGTAAACAATTTTTGCCCAAATTCATAATTGCTAAACCATGATTGTTTTATGCCCCTCCCGCGCTAATATATTTACAATGCAATAAATCATCATCATTTGTTTGCATTCTGTCATAAATTTAGTGTTTTTTGTCGGACAAATTGAGTAAAACTATTCCACCCCGTTTGAATACATCAAATGCAGACATCGTAATTTTGTTGACGACAGACAGGGCAATGCAATCCGAATCGCATTCGTCCGCACTACGCAATCACCAAACAAATTATTCAATGTAATTAAATATTTGCAGCGTTGTTTTGTGACAAAGCGTCGCCTGTTTTCTCTACATGTATATATTTTGTTTATTCTATCAAAATAAAATAATAACATCCGATGATACAGAGAAGGTGGTGGTTAAACGATCGTTGCAACAAATGGTTCATTTTATCTCTTTTAGTAAGAGAATGTCACAAACATTTAAAATTAATTCAAGCACATTTACTACAAAAACACAAGTGTTTATAAATAGAATCAATATTCTAACTTGCAGTGCTGTTAATTACTTTGGAATGCAATTTGGATCGTCGCCTTGCGTGGTGACAACGCGTTAAGGCAAAATGGAAACACACTAGTGCTAAAAATTCAAGCAATTCTCCTAGCAAATTGTTAGAGTACAAGGGACGAAAAATAAAATATTGGTATACATAGTTGGTACACCATTGTTTGTGGGCAATAAAATTATTCTTAACGATTCTAGTCGTAACAGTGCATAATGCGATATCAAATGTAAGCGGTGAATATAACTTAAGAATCTAAACGACATATATTCACCCAACATCACAGAAAATTTTTAAAATTGAAGGTTATTATAAAATATTTAAACTAAACACATTATGAAGTATTTGTTGTAAATTAAGTTTAATTATGGATTAGCTACCAACTTTCTATAAAAAGCTTGAGATTTTTCTGTATTAGTACAATAATTTATGTTTAGATATGAATTACGAGTATGTTTGATTTTGATGGCAAACCTTGATACTTTAAATTAGTAGTTGGTAGTTCATCCATAATTAAACATAATTTAGAATAAAAATTTTAAAATGTGATCAAATATATACCTTTGCTGTAAGAATACACACTGATGGTGAGACATATCATGCTCTCAAAACGTTTGTAACTTACTGGCTAATTCTCGGATAAAATAGAAGTGTTATGTTACGGGTCTATAATTGTATGAATTGGTACTCACGAACTACTCTATTTACTTGCTCTGCAAATGGCGTTTCATACATAAAACCTAACCTCTAAAAGGCACAAATTTCAAATATCAATTTTATCATAAGCGCAACTTTTTGAAGTCACTATTAATTATTCAAAGTTACTATTATGGCGTTTGTGAATTTTAGAGGTTTTGAATGAATTAGAATTTTGGCAAACAAAGTATTTTGTTGTATATTATGACAGGGCTATCCCCTGGCTTAATGGTTACAGCTTTGGGCTTCTCATCACAACTTTCAGGTTCGTTGGCTGCTTCAGTCCCCTTGTCAATGCAGGCCATATGTTTCCAAATAAAAATAGCCTTTTGCCAGCACTGCTGCAATGTTAGGAATCATAGTAGTAGTATGACTATAATGAATTCATCAAGTCAAGATAGGACAACTATTGGGTTGCCATATACAAAGGCACGTTATTAAGAAGTCATCACAATAGAACATAGGAATCGTTTAGGTCAAAAAAAATTAGGTTAAAAAAATTACAAAAAGTATAATTAATTACCTATGACACGAACAGTTACAAAGTAACACTACAATATATGTTTAAAATAATGTAATGCCGAGTGTTTTTATTTATTTTCTAAAGCTAATACGATTCTACATCAATTCAAAAACAGAAATCGCCCACTAATAATTACATGTTTGTAGTTGGCGAAACCAGTAATGGTATTGTAGCCGCCAGTGCGAATTTGACTGCTTTTTATACTGCAAAATAATAGTTTCGAATTTGCATTGTCCAGTTAATCATCCCCGAACTGATGGCCGTTTATGAGGTATAATTATTAATCTGTATCACGCTTCATTTCCGATGCAGTCATTTATTTGTAATGTATGGGACGTTTATTTCGTATTCATTGCAGTTCAGGATATATTTTCAATTATGTGTAAAAAAATATTGAAACATTATTATTATGGCGATATATAAATTTAACAGTCGCATTAACTGTAATTATTGTCATTGAATTTTATTGTTAATATTAATTCGATTGTAAGCTGTGATGTACATATTTGAATGCACTCATTTAGATTAAATAATATACACATAAAAAGGGCATATTATATGTATATATATATATATATATATATATATATATATATATATATTATTTAGTACCATTACTTTTAGCAATTAGGACCATTATAGTTTAGTTGTTTTATGTGTAATTATTGTTGTTTTGGTATCAAAGTCCAGAACATCATTTACATTATTTGTTATTTTATTCTATTTTTTTCTTTATTTGTATAATTGACTATATAGGTAATCTTTATGAGTGTTCTAGATAACTTGACATCTTGCAGAAGTGATATCAATTTTTACTTAAAAATATAGACCAAAAATATGTTTCTAATTGAAAATAGCCTATATTGGGCCTGCGGTGTGAATTGGTAATGGAAAACCTCTCGCACTATTCTTCCCTAAATCGAGTTGGAGTTTAACTCTGCTACTGGCCTAGGGCAGTACTACTGCAGTATTATTATTGCGTTATTATCATTATTTTCAAATCTTAATCTATTCATTATTCTACGTTATAAGATCATTTGCACACTTTATGGTTTTTCCTTTTTTCTTTTCACGGTAGTGAAATAGCTCTGATATTTACTTCGAAAAGTACTTTAGATTCATACTTCCAAGTGAAAATCGATATCATCACTACATAATGTTAGATTGCACGTACCAACGCGGGTTTTGAATCAGATATCTTGTGGTTGCTAGTCTGAAGGCCCAACCACTATGCCTCGTTCATTTATTAGTTCTCATGGTGAAACTTTTTGTTCAGTTGTCTGATCTGCCTTTTGATTCTATAATTTTAAAGAATAGTTAAGTATAATTATAGAAACATCAATGATGCTGCTACAAGGATAATTGTATAGTATATTAGCTTCTTCGAATATAATTATTGTAAACAAACCTCTCATTGATCACAAATTTCATGTATGCAAATATTACATGTTTTCATTTACAAAATTGTGAATTGTTATATTAATATTTTTTTCTGACATAATTCATTTCAATTATAATAATTTTTTATAAATATTAAGATATAAATACATAATTTTATATTGAGATAATAACTAATAAAAATTATACTTATAAATCTAATCATGAAAAATAATCACCAAAAAGCAATTTTTTACAATTAAATATTTCTATAAGCTACTAGGATCTAATTAAAAAAAAATAAAAATAAGATTGAAAATTATTACTGCATTATGTTATAATTGGAGTAATGGGCTTGGCGGAATGATTAAATGCCCGAGTTGCATATAAAAAGTATTTAAATTTAATCATAGCGTTATGTGCAAAAAAGTTGATATACTTGAAAATTGTACTGATATACTTTTTGCTATTACTAAAGAAAAATATATTAGAATGCTAATAGAATTTTATAATGCATTAATATGCTGGAAATTCTTGCAATAAATCGAAAATTAATAGTGTATAATAATTGGAATAACTGACGTAATAATAAAGGTTTCGTTTTCTGTATGTGCCTAAACATTCATCGTATCGTCCGTGTTCTTGCTATGATTGAGGTTTTACGGAAATTTGACAACATTGTGCAAAAATTGAAGCATTCTGATTGGTCGTGATTTTGACTACAATTTGAAGTTTTATGCAACACCCTTTCAGTCTTGTGCTAAGTTTCGTGTCGATAGCACATTTAATCGGGAGTGATTGTGTAAAAATAAATTCATATGATTGATTTATTGACATCGGTAAGTGAAATAATAAGTAACTGCATCTTATATGTTGTCATTATATATATATATATATATATATATATATATATATATATTAAATTCTTAGCAAACCATTTGTCGAATTAAAACAAAGGTTAACAAAAGTAATTCTTTGTTGTTTATTCGTTTCGGCAATTGTCGTGTGTCATCGTCCAGCAGCAAATCTAAAATACATTATCATATGAATACTTGATTTTTAATGATAAAATTTAATGAGAAGTTATATACTATGTACTGGCGTCATTTACTTTGAAACTCATTGCCCCTATCTCGCATAAGACGCGTTTTCGGACCAGACCTTAGGAAATCGTCTTAACGGGGTTTTGCTGTACATTAATTTTAATGAAAGTAATATGAAAACGAAACAACTATCATAATTTGTTTTTCCGGTATACAAATTTACAAATTTTAGGCCACCGGAATTAAGAGGCTTTCATTAATTACGTGAGGCTTTTAGGGGGAGGGGGATTTGACAAATAATTACGAGAAATTACGTGGGGGGAGGGGTCTAGTAAGATATCACGTGTATTTATTTCTTACGTAAATATTCAGAATAAAAACAAAAATTTTACGTTTTTTTTCGTAAATTAAAAAAAAAATCGTAAAGAAAATTTTATGTGAATAAAAATACACGTGATGTTTTGTGGGGGAGGGGGTAATTCTAAATATTACGACGTATCACCTTGAAGGAGGTGCAAACATTCCTAAAACATCGATCACGTGATTAATGGACCCTCCCCCCTTATGTACTTACACTTACATTTGTTACATATTACAATTTTTCTCTTCGCGACAATTTAAGTTCATCAATTTTATATTATTATATTGTAAATTCAATATTATTTTGATTGTATAAAAATACAATATACAGTTGAAATATATGAAGGGTAAAGCACAATTTCTTGTATAGACAGGGTCGTGAGTTCCAATCCACGCTCTGGACAGCCTGATATCGTTCAGTAGGGATGTCAATTTTTCTACCGTATTCTTCAGTTCGATCTGGAGTTTGACTCAGCTCACAGACCTGTTCTAGGGCAGATCACCCATTATTATTATTATTATTATTATTATTTATTATTAGTATTATTAGTATTTATATTTGAAACCAGATAAAAATTTCTAATAATACAAATGTAAAATATAAAAATTCTTAATGCATATATTATACTCATGCATTTGTTTGGGCTCGCCCGTAGGTATGCGGTTAAGAGCGACGGGACCTGAATCAGAGGTCCCGGGTTCGATACCCACTTCGAGCAGCCTGTTGTCAGGCAGCAGTGACAACGATTTTCACTTGGAAATATAGATAGCAATATGTCTCCAAGTGAAAATAGCCAATAGCCCTCACCCGGCATTGCTTCACCAATAAAAAAGTCAGCCCTATTAGATAAATCCTAATAATAAAATCATTAAATATGGATGGATTAACCATTGGGTTACCATCTAAAATAAATACGAAGTAAGAAGTTTCAGCCCAACAGCTCATAGGACGTAAGGTTCTGATTGCTGTTCAAAAATAATAAAAAAAAAACAATGCATTTGTTTTCGTTCACATTTTTGTTATTAAATTGGGCATCTCGTGGGAAGAACCTCTGCATTGCATCCACAAGGGACTATACTTGAAGCCCGCGTTGCGATTAACTAGAGCTTGATATCAAGCAATAGTGATATGCATTCACACTGGAAAATATAGTTGAAAAATATTTTTCCAAGTGGAAACAATCCTTTCGAATATTACTGTAACATGAGATGACAAACTTCAAAATTATGATAAAAAAATATCACAACAGTTTATAAACTTCCAGAAAATTCCGAATGCCTTTAAAAAAATGCGTATCATAATTTTGCATTTACTTATAAATATTATTTAACACTGGTATAAAAACAGCATCGGAAGGAAGTAGTTTTGAAAATATAATGAAAGCAGACGGAAAAATAAAATAAAAACTAGTTTTTCATATGCTATATATGTCTTTTCACAGAGTACTTTCCATATTATTATTATATATTCAGACATATGTATATTTAATATGAATTTCAACACGCAACGTCATGCGAATATTGAGTCGCACGTTCAAAATTTGCATAACGCACAGACGTGACCTTTCTGGGAACTAATATAGTCATCTAGTCTATGGGTTGGAGAAGCACTTGATATGGGTACAGGTTATCTTTGAAAACCCTATTTATTTTACATAATTTAATTTTGCTACAAACAACCATTTTTGTGCTAAGCCAGTGTCTTCCACTCTTGTAGTAGGTACATAACTAAAGATTATCCAGCCTTTGGTACTATTACGTACTCATTTGTAGTTATAACACTATTGGAGGAGAAAATAATACTTCATACTTCAATACTTCAAGAAAATTTATATGTGCTATACTTCATCAATATATCATTTTTATCAAAGATACAATAAAATTTAATAACGGTTCGTATATTTTATGAAACAATTAGCGTTGATAATCGTTTGTTCTTAATACTGACTATCCTCTCTTTGAGGTGAGGCATCTCCCACGATTAACATCGATAAGTTAATTGCTATAATATTATAATCCATACATTATTTGCAAAAAATATGATCCAGGAAACATAGATAATCGTTGCAAGTCTATGAATCGCACTGTAGGTGTAGACAACTTAAATTAACCTTCATATTTTACTCAATAATAGAACTATTGTTGATATAATGTGGATAGTAGTTAAGGTGCAGGCTATTATTATTAGAAATTTAACCAGTATTGCTGCATTAAAATTAAAATAGTAAAAACAATCCTTTGGGGTATTACTGTAAAACAAGATAATAAACTTCAAAATTAGAAAAAGACTGCATTGGCTTACTATTTTATGTACAATGTATATAAAAAGTAGTGTAGATCAATCATTCTCTGATAGTCTTCTAATAATCATTACCAGTAATATATCAATTCTAATAAAAATATGGTACACATATTGATCATCTGGATATTTCATGCATTGAGTTGCCTTCGAAAAAAAGACGTTGAAGAGATATAATCACAACTGCTCATGAACTGTTAAGTATATATTTGTTCAAAAGAAAGAAAAAAATGTTCTTAGTAGGTTCCAATTTTTCAAGAGGGACATGGATTTGCATTAGTATCTTATTAAGAGACCGATTCTGCCGCATAACAGACCAATGTTATGGCAAGGCCATGTTACTCCCCAACTTTTATAAATTATGCTACTTAATCATACTGTTTATTGTCAAAATGTCATGTATTTGCTGTGCATAAACATTTAAACATAAACGCAACTCACTTGTATGTTATGAAGCTGAGTCAGAAAGATCTTGTTATCTAAGATCGTTGTTTGACATTTGTGCAGTTTTCAGGTAAGGTTTTATATTTGACAACCTGAGAAATACGCCTGACTGCAGATCAACCACATGGCTTTTGACATATTTAGAACGATTTTGTATGTAAAGTTCTACATAACATAGCCTTGCCATAACATTGGTCTTATAGGCGGCAAAATCGGTCCCTAAGGCTATATTATCTGTATTATTTGTCGGTATCAAATGACCGCTAAAAACAAGGTGCACCTTTGACACCCATATTTTTCGATAAGTTTTGGCAGACCAGATCTAGAGTTGGTAATCTGCCAACACAACTTTTACATACAAATCGATTATTTTCTTTTTGGATGGAATGGGATTTTGTTATTTGCAGTGGTAAATAGTGAAATATGACAGAAATGCTTAGTGATTTTAATATTTGGATAAACGCGATAAAATCAAATCAAATCTTTGGGCGGAAAAATAGTTTTTTAACATATTCTTCTGTAATTTCCCAAACCGTTTTGATGTGTGATAGAATAACTCTCGCTTCTAAGCATTTATATAATTTTACGCGAGTTCTAAGCAAAGACTCGAGTGAGATTCTATTAAAGTGATCAAACGACCTCTTAAATTGCATCACATCAACGTCCATTAGATGCCTCAAACGCTTCCAAAATTTTCACCAAATGAATTATGATCCGACTTCTCTAGTGGAATAATTTGCTTTGATTCAAAAGCGGTACATTACTCTCATGTACATATCATAATTTTCATTAGTGAATTTGTTAGTATTTTCGTTTTGTTTGGTTTTTGATCGGTAAAATTAGGAAGATGGCTGTGCATTTTGTTCAAAATGACACCGCTTTTGTTAGGCCAAATTATTTGCCATATTGTTAGTATTATTAAGCAAAATTCCTCAGCAGTCACATGTTCGAAATACAAAAAGAACTTTGTCTCAAAAAGAGGAACTTGCCATTAAACAATATCCTAAAGTGAAAAATAGGCTTGAACAAGCAGCTCTTGGAATGGGTTTGCCAAATGTGTGGTTTTGTGAATTCGCATATGTAAATGACAGCATGACGTATACTCTTTGGAGTGTCAAGTGGAACAAAATTTAAATTCTTCACTAAATCAGGAAAATATATTTGAGTTCCAGTTTTTGCCTTGACGCCTCGGCTCTGCGACATGCAGACGCCACTAAAGTTAGGTGCATAAAAATTTGTTTTTGCAGAATGCAGATTTAAGGTTTTTATACAAAGTGGAAACAGATGATAGAAGAAATTAAATGGATCATTTAGAACTTCTTATGTTACGTTTTTTAATAAACGCATATTTTAAATATACACTTTTATATTTTTTTACACACAACTTTGAAGATTGATTGTGGCGAGCATAGCTCATTTGGTAGCGTGTTTGATTCACATGAATCCTGTCATTGGCTTAGAATTTATAAAAGTATATGTGTAGTTAATTTCAAATTAAATGAAATTGTATTTGTTAAGTAGAAATTGAATAAGAGAAAAATAGGAATTACAGAATTCGAAAAGCTGAATTGTATTAGGAGAAAGAAGAAAAAATATCAGAATTTGCTGAGATTAAAAAGAAGAATGAAGAAGAAAAAATGGAATTAAGATAGAAGTTGAATAGAATTAGAAATTTGATAGAAAACAGCAAAAA